CCATAGGAGGCGGCAACCTCCAGTGCTTCCTGAGGCCCTCCGCCGACGTGGCCAGCAGCTCATTCTTTTCTTATCTGCCCCTTCTGAAGACAAGGGCCAACTCCTGGTTTTTCTCCCACAAACCTGTATCTGACCAATCCTTCCCAACATGGTGAATGGTTAGAAACAAAGGCTGTGTCAAGTTTGGGGTAGAATGGTAAGAGATCCCGTGCCCCACCAGGTCAATAAAAGCTGTGTGGCTTTTTCCCATTGGTGTGATCTACTTTGCACTTTTAGAGTTTCTAGAAAAAAATTTCTCAGAAACTAAGTATTAAAGATAGTGGAGGCTTTTTACAGATTGGGTATCACACCCTTCAGCAGGTATGATACAGGTACAGCTGCTATGACCTGTACCACTTTATTTATAAGGAAAGAGCAGAAACGATGCATTTATGTTTCTAAACTTCCTTTGGATAATTTCTGAGCTCTTTTCATAGTTACACATTTTAATACTTTCATGTAAGAAAACTAGCACATCGGGATTCATCCCATCTTTATTAATTTGACAAGTACAGGAAAATCTGCAATCATCTATCAAAATTATGTGGGAGTTTGAAAGGTATTTTTAAAAAAGATGTATTCAGTCTAAATTACATACACAGCAGTGCCCGTAACAAGGGTCAGACAATGAACATGAGTAAGTAATCCCACTGAAGGTCCCATTCCAGCACCTCCGATTGTACCATAAACCAAGGCAATCCTGTGTGTGCTATTCTAAACAGTTGATTTTGAAGCTTGTATTGAAGTGTTTGTCAATTCACTTAACCACATCCTAAAGTTTCAACAATTATTCATTAAAAAAAAAAATTTGCTTTCTGGGAAGTCTTTCCTGCTACCCAGACCAATCAGAAGGGCTAGCAACACATTCCAAGGTTCAGGGTGGGCCCAACTTCTTTCTGATGACACCACTGCTGCATCTAGCAAGAGGCACCCTGCTGTCAAAGACCCTGGGAAAAGGATTTGACATTTGAGGAGGGGTTCATTTCAGCACCAGGCTCCTTTCCAAACATGCATTTAAGGGTTAAAATGCCCAGCCAGGCTGTGCTGCTACTTGTGGCTGCCCAAGCCGCCATCTTGCTCTTGCAGGGTCACCACCTCCCAGATGCAAGGACTGCTCCTATGACGACATCCAGATGATTCAGGGATTTTACAGAAAATGATTCTAAGAAAAAGGAGTACTTTACCAGAGAGCTGGTTTCGCAAAGAATTAAGTCACCTTTATAACATCAGTTTTCTCAGTCCACCACCTCCTCTGTGGAATGAAACCATGCACAATGCCTGCAGGTGCTGCAGGTGTCAGAAGACCGGGCAGCGGCAGTAAAGCCCTCAGTAATGAGGAAAAGTGGTAACTGACAAGTACTCAGTATTTCAGAGAAGTTAAAACTGTGACACACCAGCAAACGAGATGACGGCTGCACTCTGGGGATGTATCTTACTCATCTTTGCATCCTTAAACTCCAACACCATGCCAAGAATATACAAAACAACGGACAAATCTTTTCCCAGTTGGTTCCAAGCTCTTCTCTGTCCAGGGGTAGATCTGGAATGGTCTAATATGCAAACCCAACATTGGGAGTCAGGAAGAAGAGGCCTCCTCTTGACATCTGTTAAAGGACTCGTACGACCTCATTTGATAACTTCTGCTTCATATGCTGTAAATTATGATCAAGATTATACTTGGAAAGTTGATGAGGCCAAGTAAAGGCCAAGTGGTAAACACATTATTTGTTTGGGCATCTACTATCGAAGGGGAATCTTAAAAATCAGGACACTTTAAAAAATTGAGATCCAGGAGTTAAAAGAAAAAACATCCCATCTTTAGTTGTGTTGCTCTGGTAGTGACATCAGTAAACTACCTACTTAGGCCTGCTTTCTTCCAAGCTGCTTAGAAAGCCTCTCCCCTCCATTTGCCCTGACTGAGAAATGTGACCGTTCATAGCGAGAGCTGTGACTCTGGAATAGCACATCATCCTGGTGAGACTCAAACCCTGGAGAGTGAATCCTGAAAACACTCTTCAAATCTCCCCAACACGTTATTTCCATAGGCCAGTTTGCATCAAAGGAGCTCTGGTGGCATGGTGCCTAAGGCATCTGACTGCTAACCAGGTTAGCAGTTCAAACCCACCAGCCACTCCATGGAAGGAAGACTGGGCAATCTATTTCCATAAAGATTTAGCGCCTCGGAAACCCACAGAGGGTTTCTATGAGTTGGAATTGACTCCATGGCAGTGAGTTTGGTTTTTTTTTGGAGTTTGCATCAACATTCTATATAAAGATACTCTATTCCTAAACTAGTCAATTCCAGACACTCGGTGGTTAATTTTCTTCCTATTGTCTTCTTTCATTTCATTAAGCAAGTTAGCTTGGCTGGTCATGCTTTATCATCAGTCTGGCCCGACTCCAAGCCAGCCCTTCTGCCTATGCGTGAGGGCACATCCTCTGTGGATCTGCAACTGGTTTCTCTGGGGACAACCTATTTTTCAAGGTGGAAGACAAGCATTTTAATATTTCAGGAGTGATTGAACTAATTCTAAAAAGAGTGTCTGAAAGTTCTGTGGTTGAGATCAGTGATTTTAAAAAATTAGATGGGCTCCCTGTACATGGTTTTAAACATGGCTGAACTGTAGTTTGTTGTTGCTCGGTGCCATGGAGTCACGCGGTGACCCTCCTGGACAGGAGAACTAAACAGGGCCCGGCCCTGTGCCACCCTCCCAGCCGCTGCTGTTTGAGCCCACTGTTGAAGACACTGTGTCAGTCCATCTCTTTGAGGGTCTTCCTCTTACTTGCACTCTCTCTACTTAACCAGCATGATGTCTTTCTCCAGAGACTGGTACCTCCTAATAAAATGTCCAAAGTATGTGAGACAAAGTCTCACCATCCTGGCTTCTAAGAAGCATTCTGGCTGGGCTTCCTCCAACAGACCGGTTTGTTTTCTGGCAGTCCACGGTATATTCAATATTCCTCACCAACACCGTAATTCAAATGCTTCCTTATTCACTGCTTTCACATGCGTATGAAGCAAACGGAAACATAATGGCTTGAGCCAGGCTCACCTTAGTCCTCAAAGTGACATGCTTGCTTTTTAACATTTTAAAGAGATTTGTTGCAGATTTTCCCAGTGTAATAGGTCCTTTGATTTCTTTACTGCTGCTTCCGTGAGTGTTGATTGTTGATCCAAATAAAATCAAATCTTTGACAACTTCAATCTTTTCTCCATCTATGATGTTGCCTATTGGCCCAGTGGTGAGGACTTTTGTTTTATGTTGAGGTGTAACCCATACTGAAGGCTGTAGTCTTTGATCTTCCTTAGTAAGTGCTTCAAGTCATCCTGACTTGTGGAAAGTGACAGATTTACTGTGATCTTTCCACATGGGACATATACATACAGTGGATTTAAATACTCTCTCACACAGCCCAGACATTCTCTTCTGAGATGAATCTTGTCATGAAAGATATAACACAATGGGGACCTTTGTACAAATAAACTACTCCAGATTAGAGCTCCTCAAGAATGCCTGCAATCACAAATTGGTGTTGTTTGTTGTGCTGTAGATTTTCAACCACATGCGCTTTCTAGAGGATGATGATCATGCTGCCATGCATGTGAGAAGAATCTTAGAGCAGAGAGGCTAATAAAAAAGAAAAGAGATGAGAGAAACTACCACCCCATTTAAGCCCCACTCTTCCTTTGCATCTCAACTCACTCACTGCCATCGATTCGGATCTGACTCATATCAAACCCTGCTTGGGTTTCCGAGGCAGTATCACTACAGAAGTAGACTGCCCCATATTTCTTCTGAGGAGTGGTTGGTGGATTCGAACCATTAGCCTTCTAGTTAGCAGTCAAATGCCTGAGGCACTATGCCACCATAGCACTTATTTTTCCTGCAGTTCCCAACAGCCTAGTCTGAGCCAGTTTTTACTTACACATAAGTTAGTATCAGCACACAACTCCTAAAGTTAGTTTCTTATCAGAAAAATCTCATGACAGAAAACATATATTCTAAACTCCAAGAACTCCCATTCTGGGTCATATATGAAGGGCAGGAAGAGAAGATAGTAGGCAAGAGGAAAAGTCTGGCCTTTCTTCAGTCATGGGAGGAAACTACATTTCTCACAAAGGCTTACAGTCCAACCACAAGGTTAAGTAAAAGCAGGGTTTCACCCCCATAAGGCTTCACTTGGAAGTGTCACATGCACACAGGCAAACGGCTCTGCTGCCGTGTTTCGTATAACTTAATAGCATAGATAGAGCCTGAACTACCCTGTACCAGCACCTCCACCGTCCCAGCTCACACAAAGGTACACTGAGACACGAGGTAATGGAGATGGGAGACCATAAAACACTGTGAGGTCTGGAGGAGTCACTGGTGTCTTCCTCACCACCTGCCCACAGGGCCTTAGCTCACTGTGTCCTACAGGCTGCTTGGAGATCTCTGTTTTCTTGGCTGCTGCTTCTCCTCCAGGCCCTGGGCTCCCCCACAGCTTACCAAGGGAAATAATGGTTTCTTCCACACTCTTGCTTTATACTGGTACAACTGAGTCATAGTTTATAAAGCACCAGCCTTTGGCTATTAGTTCGATCGTGACCTCCTGTCAGAGGCAACGGTTATAGGAAATAAAGAGGAGCCAGGACAGAGAGTGCGTCACCAGCCATTTTACTCTTCTTTAATTCTACTGTCTTTGGGCACACATCTGATTTGCTATTGGAGAAATTATGACAGCAAGGCCGACAGCATTAATTCGTAACACATTCTTTGTATCACACAAAGAGTAAAATCCTGGAATAACCGAGTCGTCTGCTACAATGGAGTTGTCTTATTTGCCATATAAGAGAAATGCCTGTGGGTGGGAGGGGAGGAGCAATGGGGAACAGAGGTGGCACCTGGGATCAAATGAACTTCTAAGTCTGTCTAAAAATGAAGAACTGGGTGGAAAGTTGGAATTTACCTAAGGATGATTATTTCCAGAAACTACTGAATTTGGAATCTGAGGTTGAGACTTTGGGATAAATCAATCTCAAATTAGCCTTGGGAAAAGTGGCAACCATAGATGGTAATGGAGTTTCAGTGCTTGAGAACATAAACTGTCAAAATCAACCTGTATGTCTGATGTGACTCAAGGGGGTAAAAAGTCTTATCTACAAATGACAAGTCTATAACAACAACCGAAAAAGTGTGAACCCCTCAACCTTTCCATTTTGCTCTGGTGCCTGTCTCCTCACAGTAACTCCTGGAAAGGTCCAGAATTCAACTAATAAAGACATATTAGGTTGATTTTTCAAGATGTAGTTTAAGATGAAGAGTCTTGTTTTGTTTAAACCACTTCCTTTCACCTCTTGGTGATGGTAGTCCTGAGAGTCCATAGTGTTGGTGAAATCTACCTGTGACCAGGGTCAAATTGCTGGTGGGAACCCAGGAACTTCTTGGCCCATCATCTTTCCTTGTTTCTGCCCCTCCATCTGGCAGTTTTTGCACCGAGGGACTCAGTCCATCACAACGAAGGATGTTCAAAACCATCTTCTGTAGACACCTGCCTTTCAGTGCCCAATACTGCAGGTGGTCAGAAAAGCATGGAGGGAAGCTGAAGAAAGTCCAGCAGGGAGTCTTAAATTTGTTAGATGTGGACACAGGAAAATCACCTTTGCCCTTCCCAGATTTCCAGTCAAAGGAGAAAAATCCAAGAGACTCCAATTGCAAATATGCTAAATATAAAACTGATGGAATGCTAATTGGTCCATAAAGGGCTGCACAAGATAATCTGTGGCAAAGTAGAAAACAAGCCCGAAGGTGATAGAGATCGGAAGAGCTGGCAACGCTTTCTTGCAAATGGCGAGGAGCAGCAAGGTAAGGCACAGACCCTGGGGAGAGGGAGAGACACACTCACAGTAACTGTGAAGGCAATTTACCTGCAAAGCAGCAGTCACAAGTCTTGGTTTAATCATCTGAATACCACCCCCTGGGATACGTTTTAGAACAAATATTTTCACAAAATCTGTAACAGGAGCCATTAAAAACAAATGTAGCCTCCTGATAAAAGGGAAATACCATTTATTTTCACCCTCTAATTGTAGACAAGGAATAGAATCTGAAAATAAGTATGTTATGTATGTGTGTGTGTGTGTGTGTATACATATATATATATTTTTAAAGTAATTTCTATCTAAAAACTATTTAGTTTGGCTGACTAAAATTCTCGGGTAAGAGCATACACTGTGCATGGCCCAACAAGACACTCGTAGAACAAACTGCCACAAAGGTTTGTTGATGAGAACATGCCACTCTCCTGCAAACACGGATCTACTTTGCTGTGATATACTTTGCTTTCACCCTAGTTGCTGAGACTGACCACAAAGTGTTTCAGTTTATCAAGAAGTAATTTTCTTCTGAAAAGACATGAGACCCTATACATAATTTCAAATCCAGAAAGCTAACTTCAAAAGGGAAATAAAATATATGAAAATTCAAACTAGTTATATATCTTATCAAATTACAAATGTAACTACAAAATAAATGCATAAATAAAGGCTCTTCCATCCTCATCTAACTTTACCATGTGTCCCTCATGTTAAAGAGATCACACCTTTAGTAAAAACAGCAATAAAAAGTATTACAGGTTACTGACTCCAATCATGATTTTAAAGGTTCCGGGTTTACGCTGTGGCCCTATAAGCAAGCTCTACATGGGTTCCTGCAGTGCATTAGGGTTCTCACCTAACACCTGCTGCCTAAAGTAACAGCAGATGCTACGGGTTGTGTCAGTAACCACTAAACCCTCCCTAAGACAGGGCCTATGCGAAGACCTGCTTATTTCTGAAGACTGGTCTCAAGCAGAGCTTTTCTCATATGCATCTGGGCTGCTGAGCTTGCAGCAGCACTTCCTAATCAGAAGTACTTATCAGAATTTCCTAGGGAACTTTAAAAATACACACAAGGAAAACATAAATTAAGTAAGAGTATCTCAGGGCAGGGCGCCTAGCTTTAAAAGCTCCCAGGTGATTCCAATGTGTGGCCACGGTGGAGAGCTGTTGTTGTTGTTATGTGCCGTCAAGTTGGCCCCGACTCATAACGACCCCTCCTTGGGTTTCCGAGGCAGTATCACTATGGAAGTAGATTGCCCAACCTTCCTTCCAAGGAGTGGCTGGTGGGTTTGAACCGCCAGCCTTCTGGTCAGCAGTCAAGTGCCTTAGGCACTATGCTACCAGAGCTCTCCCCGGTGGAGAACTAGTCAGGTGAAATCCAACTATCTGAGTTGTTAAAAAGCTCCCTGGGTGACTGGAACACCCTGCCCATCTGGTGCTAAAGCAGGACGACCTTAAAGGGACGAAGTAATCAAGAGTTTCAAGATTAGGATTCTGCCACACTTTCATCTGTATATACTCACAATTAATATGGCTACAAAACAGGCTATGGTTGTGTTCCAGTCTCCGCTGGCTGTTGCTGAGGCTTTTCCAACCAGAACGCTGTAGAAAATGAAATCTCCCAATCCAAGTTTGACTCCCCCTAAACAACAACAACAACAACAAAGAGGAAAGATTAAAAATGTAGAAAAGGTTGTCACTCTTTGCTATGATCTCACAATTCAAAAAGACGACTGCCCTACTACACCCTGCAAGGAATGAGAAGTCTGTAGAATCATGCAAAACCAGGCACTCATGGCTTCTGCTTGCTTGGTCTCCATTTTCTACAAGTGAAGAGAGTTTCAGATTCTACACGGCTGCCCCTGGGGTCCGAGCAGTCTAATGGTAGATGCTGCTACTGTATACCAATGGCAGTAACAATTAATTGTCATCTACTGAGTGCCAACTCTATAACCATCATTTGTGCTGAAAAATCTCACAGGAATCCCCTATGAAATAGGTACCATCTCCATTTCAAAAAACATAAAACCGACATGAGGTATAAAATACCTCCTAAAATTCTCCCATCCCAAGTGTGCAATTCAGTGAGGGTAGCACATTAAGAGAGTTGTGAAACCTTCATCACAATCCATCACCCCAATAAGATGAATTATTTACAGTCAATCCCCTCCCCCAGCCTTAGGCAACCACTGATCTGGCTTTCAGTCTAAAATGTGCCTTTTCTAAGCACTTCTTGTTAACAGACTCACGTAACATGAACTCTTTTGCCCCTGACTTCCTTCACTGAACATAAATGTTTTTGAGGTTAATTCATGATACTGCATGTATCTGTATTTATTCCTTTTTATCACTGAAATAGTTTACATTTATGGATATACAGTAATACTTTGTTTATCAGTTAATGGAAATTTGGACTATTTTCAGTTTTTGGTTATTATAAATAATGCTGTTATGAACATTCATGTGGACAGTTTTCATTTCCCTTGGGTAGCTTCCTAGGAGTGGAACTGCTGGGTTGTATGGTTAAGTTCAGGTTTAGCTTTTTAAGAAACTGGTGAACTATTTTCCACAGTGGTGCACCAGTTTACACTCCCCCCAGCAATTCATGAGAGTTTGTTTCTTCATATCCTAACCAATAGTTGGTGTTGTCAGTTTTTTTACAACCACCATCCAGTGGGTGTGAAGTGGAACCTAATTTCCCTGAGGAAGCTGAGCATCTTCTCATGTGTTTCCTAGCCATTGTATTTCTTCTTTGGTGAAATTTCTATTCAGATCTCTTTTTGTAAACTGGGTTGCTTATCTTATTATTGAGCTGTAATAGCTCTTTTTTTAAATTTTTTTATTATGATTTGGGTGAAAGTTTACAGAGCAAATTCATTTTCCATACAACAGTTCATACACATTGTCTCATGACACTGACTGCAATTTCTCACAATGTAACAACTCTCTTCACACTTCTTCCCCATAGTTACCTCTTCCTTGTGTCCTGCCCTACCCCCCAGCTGTCTCCCTGTGCATACACTGCCTTTCTGTTCTCCCATGATTGATCTCTGCAAGGAGTGTACGTACCTGATGTAAATGTTCAGCCCATATGCTGGTCTATTATTTGGTTGGAAGCCACAGGAGTGAATTCAATTCCAGATCTGAAGGGCAGCTGGGGCCACAGTCTCAGGGGTCTCACCAAGCTTAATGAGTTATAACAGGTCTTTGTATTTCCTAAATACAAGTCCTTTAATAGCACTTGCAATATGATTTGTAAATATTTTCTCCCAGTCTGTGGCTTCTTTTCCTTTTCTTAACAATACCTTTTGAAGTAATTTTGATGAAGTCCAATTTATTAGTTTTTTTCTATAATGAATCATGCTTTCAGAGCTAAGAACTATTCACCCAAATCAAGGTCATGAAAATTTTTCTCTGATATTTCATTCTAGAAATTTTTATTTTCTACTTCCATTTAGGTCTATAGTCCCCTTTGAGTTCATTTTGCTGGTGTGTGTCTGATGAGGTAGAGCCCTTAGTTTATGGATGAGATATTCAACTGTCCCAGCATGAGCCATTGGTGGTTCAGGGACAGAATTCTCACCTCCCATGCAAAAGATCACTTCAATTCCTGGTCAGTGCACCTCAGCACAGCCTCCACCTGTCTGTCGAGAGAGGCTTGTGTGTTGTTCTGATGCTGAGGGGTTCAGTGAGGCGTCCTAAAGTGAGACATGCAAGAAAGGCCTGGCACTCTCCTTCTGAAAACCAACCAGGCAAACCCTACGGATCACAATGGTCTAACCTGCAACCTATCCTGAAGACGGCACAGCACGAGGCAGCATTTCGTCCCATTGTGTGTAGAGTTTCCATGACTCAAAGGCCAATGCAACAGCAGCTAGTGACAACAAACTGTCTGAACACCTTGTATTGAAAAGATTACCTTTTCCCCACTGAGTTATCATCACACTGTTATGAAAAAAAAAAAAAAAAAAAGACCATATATGGAACAGTTTCTCTTTGGACTCGTCCTTCTGTTCCACAGATCCATATGCCTATCTCTACACAAATATTACACTAGGAAGGTTATAAATAAAAAACAAACAAACCAGATGATAGCAGGCATTGTTAAGAATGTAGAGGAATCAGAATATCCATACACTGCTGATGGGAATGCAAAATGATCCAGGCACTTCGGAAACCATCTGGTAGTTCCCCAAATAGCTCAGCACAGAATTATCAGATGACCCAACAATTCTACTCCTAAGGATATAGCCAAGAGAATGGAAAACACATGCCCACATAAAAACCTGTACTTGAATGTTCACAGCAACATTATTCATAATAGCCAAAACGTATAAGCAACCAGCATGTCCATCAACTGATAATAAACTGAATGTGGGATATCATACCACCCTAGTATATGAGCCTCGGTGGGACAGCCTTGGTTAAGGACTTGGCTGCTAACTGAAAGGTCAGCAGTTTCAACCCCACCAGCTGCTCTGCAGGAGAAAGATGTGGCAGTTTGCTTCCATGAAGATTTATAGCCTTGGAAACCCTGTGGTGCAGTTTATTCGGTCCTATAGGGTCGCTGAGTTGGAATTGACTCCACAGCAATGGGTTCTGAGGTCTTATATACATACAATGGAATATTACTTGGCAATGAAAAGAAACACTGATACATGCCACACAACACAAAGGAACCTTTAAAACGTTATGCTAAGTGGAAGAAGTCAGTCACAAAGGATCACTTTTTGTATGGTTCTATTTCCATAAAATGTCCATAACAGACAAACTTATATAGACAGAAAATACACAGTGATTGTCTAGGGCTCAAAGATATAGCAGGATTGGAGGTGACAGTGGTACAATTCTGTGAATATACTAGAGCCATCCCTTTAAATGGCTGAATTGTATGATACAAGACTTATATCTCAATGTTGTTGTTGTTAAGTGCCGTCGAGTCGTTTCCGACTCATAGCGACCCCATGCACAGCACAACGAAACACTGCCTGATCCCGCGCCAGCCCAACAATCCCTGCTATACTTGAGCCCATCATCGCAGCCACCGTATCAATCCATCTTCTTGAAGGCCTCCCCCTCTTTTGTCGACCCTCTACCCTACCAAACATGACATCCTTCTCCAGGGAATGGTCCCTTCTTACAACATGACCAAAATAGGTGAGATGAAGTCTGGCCATTCTTGCTTCCAAGGAGCA